ACAGGTATAAGGTTGACCCTGGCTTCCGGATACCCAAGGTAGCTGTCTGCAGGTGTCTGTCAGGACAATTTTGTAGAAAGGGATGTACAATGTCTTGACCTCTCCGGGACCACTCCAGGTAAATTTGACATTTTGATTATCAATACTCTGGTTCTGACTACGCTCAAGAGAATTTTCATATACTACTAACTGCTCTTCTTATATGGGACTGGGACTGTGCCAAGCCTTTGCTCCCCACAGTATTCCACCTTCTTGAAAGACATTTCTGTCTTGTAGTGTCCTGGAAAACTTTTACGAAACTATTAGCTGCAAACTTCCTCTGTGATGTATTTTTCCCTATTAAGAACTATATTTATTTCTTGTAAAAACAATCCTAAGATCTTCAACGTGGTTCACCTTTTACTTTCTGTCTGCTCCCGGCACTACTTCACATCCAATACCTTTTCACCCAAGAATACAAGTGCTTCCATCGGGAGACCACATGTGAGCAAGGGCTGGTGGCTCTGAAGGACATCTGGATTCTCTACATGGTCTCTCCCTGTGCTGTGAGAAGTTCTTCAGTTACACAAGGACCGTAGGCGGCGAAAGGAAAAAAGCTAATTATTACTTGTCGGAGTCTTGTCTCAGGCATGCTGTAGGATTGTGCAAGGTTCATTGCTCTGCTGGTGTCATTTTGATGCTACAATTACAGAGAAGTGGTTCAGCACCCAGCAGATCAGCGTGGCTGCCAAACGCATTTGAACACAGGATACATTTTTTAAACACCAGCAAAGGGTGTGTCAGAGGACACCCAGTTGACTTAAAAGACATGTGGGGCAGGGTTGTCTAGGTAACTGATTACCATCAAGTTTGCCAGAAAATGACAGATAACTCGGAACAGAATACCCAGGACATTCCTTTTTAAGTCAGGGAGCTATTTGGTTTCTTCAGTGGTGGCTACCTACTTGGGTAATACGGTTGCTCATCAAACATTCTGCACTGCAACATGCTGTGGGTACCATGGTGGCCACTGCTGTACCTGGGACTCCTGTGTCTGTAAAACTGTTGGTCCCAACTTGGTTTTGGCAACAGAAGCCAGAGAATGAAAGGTGCCAGTAAATAGTCACGAATAAGGGATCTAATTACCTTTAGCCAATTATTTCTGTCTCCCTACCCTTCAACCATGGGTGCTTTGGCAGTCTCTGTAGTCAAGACGGAACTTCTGGAGTGACTGGAATTGCTGTTGTCAGGAGACCTAGGTCATAGAAGGATTTCCCTCTGAGCTACAGGAATGCACGTGCAACCCTGGAGTCCTGGAAATGCCTGAAACGATCTTGTCACTAGCATGGCTCTGTCCTGCTAACGCCAATCTGCCAATACTTGATGGCTTATTTTCTTTCTCTTTGCCTCTCCATCCAAATAAGCACTCAGCAAAAGGAGATGAACTAGAATTACACTGAATTTGTTTGGTCTGGCAGAGGTAAACACATAATGGCTGTAGAAATACTCAAACATTAAGTGAAAAACTGGCTCCAATTATAGGATATTAAGGAAGGCTGTGCTATGCAGGGTCCATCTCTATACACTGATTTTTGAAAACAGAAGAGAATATCATCAGTCTTGAGCAAGTCAAGAATTTACTCGCTTAGGGGCAGGGATTTGAAACTACTTCTTTCACAGCATGGCCTTCTGCAGCCATGGAATTCCTTGAGTACCCAAAGGAGGAGGGACAGACTGCTCATATGCCCAAAAGAGATTCAGGCTCTGGATGCCTCATCCCAGGGCCTTACAAAAGAAACACAAGGTTCCTCGGAGACCTCGGTGATCTTGGTCCATAGTCCTTCACTCCGGTACCTAGTTCATTCTTCTCATCTGCCCTCAAGTTCCCTATTCAGCAGAATTAGGGGCTGGGGGGCAGAGATGATAGAGAAGGTAAAATCTATTTTTGGTCTTCCAATTCCTTCCCTATTTGTTGGCTCATATTCTGAAAGGTTTCTCCAGTTCTGTAGCAAATGGGGAGGAGGTGAGCCTGGCTGGGGAAAGGAAGGAGAGCAGCCATCTGTCACATGCCCAGCATGGCTACAGGGAAGCTGGGAAGGGGTCTACCGAAAAATGCAGGTTGGCAACAGCTCCATTTCCCTCCAGCTTCAGATCAGGGCCAATTGAGGAGGGAGGGACAAGCTTCCAAGCAGTCGAGCTGGGGCCAAGTGTCGACAGCGATGCTTTAGCGAGGAGCTCCTCAAATCAGGGCCTGGGCCTTCTGCTCCCCTAGGTTAGCTCTAGTTAAGGTTCCAGTGTGGCAGGTGACAATTCGAAACGACAAATGTGTTAACAACAATATTTTGAGCTCTTTCTATTTAGGACGCACAGTGGCACAGAGTAGGCTTGTCCCCTCAGGCCCTGCTGAACAGACCCTTGAGCTGTCCAAGGTCTGCAGGGAGTAGTGGAGCCGGTTTGTGTATTCTCTTTCTTCTTGGGTTTGCAGTGAGAGCTTTCCCGAGTCCTCTCTTGGTCTTATCCAGTCTCAGTGCTTATTCCCTGATTCAGTGGTAGCGTTTTGCTTGCTGCTGGATGAGGTCCTGCACCACCGCTGTGTAAATCCTTGAGCTGATGAACGGAATCACCATATCTAAAATTTCAAACCATCTCTAAAGCTGTCACGGCAACCTCTATCCCTCTGTAGAGTTTTTCTCTTATTTTGGGGTTACAGGAAATGAGAGATGAACAGGAAGGGAAGTATTTAGGGGAAGGGAAAGCAGCAGTGTACTGAGGACCAAAGATCCTAAGAAGCCAGTTTTTCCTAGAACTTAAGACACACGCAACATTTACAAAATAGCTCGGCCTCATGTATACAGCCTTAAAGATGTTCCGAGGAGTTAGATATAAGGAACATGCAACTATCCCAACACCTTCTGTCCTGACACCTTGGGGTACCAAGAAATACACCTGAGAAGAAACATGGAAAACAAAATCTAACTCCTAGCCCCACCTATGTGAATCCTGAGCTGCTTCATACTACCCAGCAAGAGTTCTTTGAAACATTCATTGCCTGAAAATGCTCTTTCTCTCTCCAAATTCAAAGCCCAAGAAAAGCTCAAAAACACATTTGCATAAAGAAGACTGAACACCATCAGTGAGTCATGCCCACCAACCAGAGCCAGCAGAGAGTGTATAGAAATGTTTTCTCCTTTCTCAAGGCCAGAGAGGGGATGACTTCCCCCGGTTGCTCCCTCATACACACACCTCTTCAACAACCAGAGCTTAAACGTGTGGAGCGACAGCGACTAGCTTCAAGAGTATCAAATATAAAACTTTGCCATATAATATTTCAAATCACTCTATTTACAAGTTTATCTTTAAAAAAAAAAAGTAAAAGATACAGTAATTCAACACAATTCAAGTTTTTCTCTTCTTTAAGCTTCCCTAAACAGGAATTCCAGAAGCGGGGAGCACTCTGGAACAATGCTGCCATTCCGAGGGGCTCCTGGGGAGCCTGACGGTCCATCAATTTGGAGTCTGTCTGCCCAGAGTCACTCTTGCAAGGACATTCGAATGCAGAAGACACTGAGAACTCTGTTCTTTGAAGGCCAAGTGAATGTGAAATGTCCAGGCCCAACTTTCCCACCCCAGGTAATCTTCCAGAAGACCCGGCCCCTTCTGGACCAGGAAACTCTCTTTCTCAGAAGGTACCCATTCCATCTTTCCATGCCTCCTGAATCACAATGGCTTATACTATTAGTCTTGTGCCTCAAAAGCCTGAGAAACAATTCCCTTTTTCTGAGTGGCAGTGAACACATATGTCCTTTAAAACTACAGGCCACAGGGTTAGCCCTGAAATCACCCCTGAAAGCCACCAGGGCACCAGTGCTCAGCAGCGCAGGGTACTGCCACGGGGCTGGTCAGTGAGGGACTACAGGCATGCGAGGGCAGGGGAAGGGACGGGAACAGGAGACCATGAAGGAACAAGTCAAAGGGAGGATGTCACCTGTGGAGAAGCAGTATACTGCCCCCTATAAAGCATGGAAGAACAGAAATATTAAACCTGTATGTAATTTAATCTCAAGAGGTTACTAGAGTTTGCTCCAAATATATCCTGATGCTGCTGAAATTCATCAGAAAGGGAAGAGTTCCCAGCTGCCATTCTGTCTACCCCGAGCAGACCACTCTAATTCCTTGCCCTTCTGCTTCAGGTTGTTGGAAAACCATTCAAAAAATGACCATAAAGCAGGGAGAAAAAAAAATATCATGCAAAAAGTGTGTTATTTTTTTGGTTTGGTTTCAGAGTAGGTTGGGTTGCCGTGGTTACGAGGTGATGGCAGCCCTCAGTGGCAGAGAAGTTCCTAGCTTGGGAGGGGGAACGTGGGGTGTGTGTGTGTTCCCCTTGCAAGAGGGGACTGAGCTGAATTCTGCCAATGCTTGGCCGAGGCTGCCTGGAGATGGTGAGAGATTGCATTTTATGTAAACAGTGCCGTAACCCCTCTCCCTCCTGCATGCAAACAGACAGACCCAGCTGCCTGTAGCACTGTGGGCCTCAAGTATTTGGAGGTGGGGTAAAGAGAGTGTCTACTGTAAACAGAAGCAATGGGCCCAGCCTGGGTCTCAGAGCCAATGCCCAGCCCTGCCAGACTTAAGCTACACTGCATGCTCTTGAGGACTACTTACATCTTTCTTACTTCCTTTCTCAGAAGGTTGGGGGTTTGGATGACTGCTGAAACAAATGAATCCTCCCTATTTAGGGCGCTAAAGGAGAGGAATGGCTTTGCCAGCCGTTCTCTCGGTTATCAGAATCAAACGGTCTCCACTGCTGATTTCCTTCTGTTCCTTGCAGTATCACCGCATGCCAGCTGCCATGGTCATGGGGATGGGTGCTCCAGAGTTCACAGAAACATTTGCGTTGACAGGTAGTAACCGAGTCAGTCACCCTGAATTTCTCAGTGGCAAAGAGAAACGGCCTCCAACACTGCAATCAGCGGTTGTCATGGATACCATGGAAAGCTCAGCAGGTCTGCTGGGGCCCACGGTTAAAAGAACTCCACGTAGTTCTCAGGGATGAGGCCAGTCTTTCCGTTCAGAGTCCCTTCCAACCAGCCAGGCTCCTGAGATGGATGAACTATACAGGAAGAGGGGAGAGAGACAGCGAAAAAACGTTACAGATAGGGGAGGTGGTGGACGTGTGAGAGAACAAATGAGCGCAGTCGCCTGTTATGTTACATGTTTCCAGGACTTGTTTAGACCAGGGGTTCTTAACTTCTTGTGGGACATAAGCGTTCCAATAAAGGTCATTCTGAAAGTTCTCTATAACAAAAAAAAGGGAAATAGACACAGCCATTCAAAATTTTGCATACAATTTTTGGAGTTTCGTAGACTTTCTGAAGTTGCTGGCTTAAACTATTAAGAGGTGACAGATTTTTCCTTTTGAGGTTAGAAGTCGGTTACGGTGTTCCATCCATAAATTTATCTAACCATCCATCCATCTATCCATCCATCCATGTACCCATCTATCTACCCAGTAATGCCTATGACCCAAGTGGGGTGTCCATGGAGGAATGCTAAGAACTAGTTTTTAAAGGTATCTAGTATGCATTTCATTAACCTAATTATGCATTTTCCTTTCCCTTAAATCCTTACCCTCTGATTCTAATCTTCCTACAAATCTCCCCACCTTTCTTTGGGCAACCTATGGCCTGTGAATAGCCCCCTCTCTGTTCCGCCCATACCCTTTCTTATTTTTCTTTCCTGTTCTCTAGAATTTTCCTCCCTCCTCCATACAAGACTCAAGGCTGTCTTCTTCCTCTTTCTCTTGTAACTTTCAAAATTTCTGTCTCTTTGGTTTTTCGATATCCAAGAAATCTACCCCATTTCTGTGCTATCACAATCCATCTTCATGGAGACTACTGTGATACTGTAAAGATTACATAAAATCCAATTGAGGCTGCAAAGTCCAATAGCAGGAAGAAAGAGAGAAGGAATCATGGGACCTGGAGATGGCAGGGGCACGGTGTTCATGCTTGTGAACTGGCAAAACACAAATCACTCTTAATGGGAAAGGCAGTGCATTTGCTCTTAATGTATTAGGAAAACTCCAATTTTCTGAGATTGTTCGTAAAGAATGAATTTTCCCCTATTCCCTTCCTAGGCTAATTAAGTGACTTCCTGAGCTTGTTTTAGAAAAGCATTTCCACCCCCAATGCTACTACATAACTTTAGTTTCAGTTTGTAGGAAAAGAAGCAAGAACAGAAACCAAAGGAAGCAATGGGCAAGCAGCGAAAGAACACACATCGAGGCTTCAGGAAGGTCAGTGTCAAGGTAATCTTGAATGCTTCTTCAGGAAAAGACAAGGTCAAACATCTATCAGTTGGCCTCCAAAATGCTTACATAATTTCCTATCAGTAGGCTTCAGGAATAAACCAAAAATACTAAGGGTATTTTGGATTCATGACATCCACACAGAGGAGTCTGGAAGAGAAGAGCATGGGAGAATACAACACAACTTAAAAGCAACCTGCTCTCTCCAACGATGAAGCTCTCTCAACTTATCCTGAAGATACTAGCACCCAAACACCACTGCCTTCTGCCCAGCCATCCAGCTGACAATGTTAATTAAGATCACTTGAATTTTTTGTACCTATAAAGTGATTATAATAAAACTCCAGTGCCAGGAGCCAATATGGAGAAAGCACTCAGCAGAGAGCCAGAATTTGTCAATAGGAGATCCTGTATCATTTGACCAGTCATTAGGATGAGTGAACAAGGCTCTCTCCTGGTAAAATCTTGGTGAGTGCCTGATCTCAATACCCACTGAAGCTTTGGAAAACCTCAAATGTTCAAAAGCAAAACAAACAAACAAACTCACTCCCCAAAATAAAAGACCTAGAAAGAACAACCAAACAACCAACCAACCAAATACAACAAAACCAAAATAAGACCCTTCCCAGTTTACAGCAAAGCTCCTAGTTGAATGGTTATTCCACTGGATACATTGAGTCTCTCTCTTTCAGACATTCTCCCTTCCTGGCCAGCTGTTCAAATGCAGCTCAGGTGCTGAGGTGCTAACAACTAAAAACATTAAAAATGGGATTTGCCAAGTAAGGGATGAATGAGAGAGGACAAAGGAGGCCCCTCCAAGCCGAAGAACAAGAGTTAGCACAGGGGACAGTGAAGCCTTCTGGTCAGACTGCTGACTCACTGGGGGCTTTGAGCTGGGCTTATTAAGGCCTGGCATCAAACCATGTGCATCCAAATCACCTGCACGGTTATTAAAACTGGGCCTCATGGCATACCTGTTAAAAGAGAATCCCTAGGAGTGAGGCCCAGGGATACGTATTTTATTTTATTTTTAAAGTAGGCTTCATGCCCAATGCAGGGCTCCAACTCACGACCCTGAGATCAAGACCTGAGCTGAGATCAAGAGTCGAACACTTAACTGACTGAGGCACTCAGGTGCCCCCAGGGATCTGTTATTTTTACCTTAATCACAGAAAGGTAAGGGTTATGACTTTTCTGTGCCCAAATGCCTCTGGAATGAAGGTGGTCATAAGAAAGTGCAAATTCTCACCTATGGATGGAGGAGGGGAAGCAACATCAGATGCCCCTCTGCTGAAGCCCTACCTCCTTCAGAAACACCAGCACGGAATCCAGTCTACCTGTTCCCTCTTTTCTCCAAACTCCTGGAATGCTCATAGCACATTCCACACGTTATTCACGGGTCCTGTTAACACTGTTCAAATGTGTTATGCATTGCTTCCTTTACTAGTTTTTTAGGATGTTTTAGTCTGTACTGTATCACTCAATATTCTTCAATGACTCCCCTCTGTCAATTATGATAGAAGCTAACACCTAGAAATAGTGACTGGGAAGCAGCCATGGGCTGCTGAGGTTTGGATATGCGTCAATTTCTTTGATCTTAAAGATCCTAGCTTGTATCTTGGTATCCATATTTCACAAATGAGAAAATTAAGGGCCAGAAAGGTAAATTAATTTGTGCAGGATCACAATGGTATGACTAGAATTTGAACGCAGTTTCTTTGACTCCAGAGACCAAGCCCGTTATGCTTCTAATTCAACCAGAGAATGTGGTCTTTGGGGATAAGAATGATACATATACACATACACATACATATGTACATCCCAAGTGGTGGGTCTTTTGCTAAGTGCTTTGCCTGCCTCATCTCCTTTCACCTTCAGAATGACTGTGAACTCAGTTCTGCTATTATCCTCATTTTACTGATAATAAACTGAGGCTCAGAGACGTTGAGCATTTTGCCCCTAAATACACAGCTGGCAGATGATGGAGATCGATGTGAATCCGGGATATCTGACCCCAGACTCTGTGGTCTAACCACTACTGCTTTTGCCTAGCCCAAAGCTTTGGATATTAACAGTGTTCGTATGCACTTATTGAGCTGAACTGAGCCCATGCCCAACTTTCTGAACTACACCAGTGTCCAATGTGCCACATAAACACACGAAGCACTGCAGTGAGCTGGCTCGGCAGCTCTCCAGCCCAGCAAGCAAATAATACAAGCAGCTCCTGACGTGGATGTGCTTCCTGCCAAGCATTTTCAGCTTCATCCATCTCTGCTCCATACACCCCTGTATACACAACTCATGCTCTGTCCTTTTCCTTTTCTCACTGTGGAAAAGGAACAAGCATGTGACTAAGGTCTCTAGTGGCTGGCTGTCCCTAAGGGAAGAAGCACTGGCTGGAAGAGGCACAGATCCCTGTGTAGGTGAATATATTTACTCATGTAACAAGTGTTTATTAAGCACCTACCCTGTGCCAGACACTAAGCTAGGACCTTGCACACGGTACAAAGCAAGCAGAAAAGATTCTGCTCTCGGAAAGGGGCAATGTATCAGTAAATAAGCACATAATTTTAGGTAGTGATGAAGGAGGAGAAAGAGACTGGGATAGGGATGTGGGTATGGGAAGGAGCTCAAAAAGCTAAAACCTAAATGATCTAAAGGAGCTAGCCAGGCAGTGGGTAATGCAAGTACAAAGACCCTAAGGTCGGGAAAAGCCTGCTATGATTTCAGAACAGTGGTCTGTAAATTTTTCTCAAAGAACCACTCTGTAAATGTGTATCTCTACTCAATTCTGCAATTGTAGCACCATGGCTAACATGTAGACAAAAAGGCATGGGTAGCTATGTTCCAACAAAACTTTATTTACAAAAACAGGCAGTGGGCTGGATTTGAGTAGCAGGTCATAGTTTGCTAACCCTAGCAGAGAACATAGGGAAAGTGTGCGAGGCTGCAGCGTATCAAGTGAGGAAGGGAAGGGCCAGGGGGCAGGAACAAGACCGTGGAGACGCCGATCAGCAATTCTCGGAGGACCAGGAGGCCACTGGGATAGGTGAAGGAGAATAACATGATGCGATTTTCAAACATCGCTCTGGCTGCTGCGTAGGGAAGGGTTATGGGGGCAAGAGTGGACATGACAAGTCTGTGTTGGCAGCAGGTGGAAACAGCTGGGTGAGAGATGGAGGTGGCTTGGGCTTGTGTTTGGATTTGGCAGTAGGCACGGCCGGGGGGTCCAAAAGACTCCACTGAGGACCCTCCCCGACAACCCCACTGGTAGAGCAACCCATGATCCCCTGGGAGGATGCTCTCTGTCTCTGAAGGAAACCTGGGGCAGCCCAGAGTGGGTCTTGCACTCATGCCGGATCCCATACTTTGGCAATGAATGGATCCAGCCCATCTCAAATCTTGATCAAATTGTCCCAAGAACCCAATTTTAGTGAATGCCATGTGCATTTTCCAGGTATCGCTAATCACACTGCCATAAAATGACTAATGTTCTTGGGAACACGAGTTATTTCTCTTTCTCTTTCGTTACTAACTAAGGTGCTCTTGGTGAAAAATGCTATTTCCTAGTAGGCTGGCAAGGGCTGACAGTGGAGTTATTTCCGAGTAATGCACATCCATTCCCCACTGCACAAAGTCCCAAAGCCGATTGAACAGCACAGCTCACATTTGCAGCACAGGCCCCTGGAACCCAAAGGCTTGGAGATTAATCATTATGAAACAACAGACTTTCCCCTCAGGGTGCCCCTCCTTCTTCTTCCTCCTCATCCCTTCTTCTTGATGCTGAGAAAGACAACACACACACAACTCCCTAAGCCTGTCATTAGGAAACTTCCTTCCAATTGGTCTGATGATTCAGTCTGACAGCTACAGAACATCCAACTTAAATGGCTCTTACCTGAAGTCTCCACCAAGAAACTAGCAGGAGACAGAACAAGGGAAGTGATCTTTGCCTAACGTGCTAACCGTTTTTTCTCCCCTAATGCCCAGGTAAAGGGAGGGGGATAATGGGGTATATGCAGTGTTTTCTAAAAATCGGGCATGATAAATATCACCAGCCAAACCAATCTAAACAGAGGATTCACATGTTGTCAGATGGAGGCAGGTGGCAAGGTGACATGGTACAATCCCTATGTAAGAACACTCTGGCAGCTCCTGAAGCTATTAAACTGTGTGATCTAGGGCCCCCCTCCCCCCCACCTAGGTCTATCAACAAGAGAACAGCAAACACAGGTCCTCACAAAGATCAGTACACAGATGTTTACAGCCGCATTACTCCTAACAGCCAAAGAGCAGAAACAATCGAAATGCCATCAACTGACAAATAGATAAATAAAACGTGTTATATCACAGGAGGGAAGATTACTCAGCAGTAAAATGGAAGGAAGTCCTGACGCATGCTACATACAACAGGGATGAGCCTTGAAAATACTATGCTGAGTGAAAGCAGCCACTGACAAAAAGCCCACATGCTGTATAATTCGGTTTACATGAAATATCCAGAGCAGGCAAATAAATAATGACAGAAAGGAGATGAGGGGTTCCCTGGGCTGAAAGGGGCAGGTCATGGCGTATGTGGAGCATGACTGCTGAAGGGCACAGGGTTTCTTTTCGGGGCAATGAAGATACTCTGGAATTAGACGGTAGTGATGGCTGCACAACTCTGAATCTACTAAAAAACCATGGAATTGCACATTTTAAAGGGGTAAATTATACGGTATGTGGATATCTCAATACAGTTGTTTGAAAAAAAAAATACAAGGAGGCTGCACTCAAGAAAAAGAGTCACAAACAAGATGCACACACATACACATACCTTTTGAGAGTTAAAACCAACTCTGTCCCTGAGATCAGGGGTCCTCTCTGCAGTCACAGTGAATGGCTGATAGGAACAAGGCAGTCCCTTGCCCACAAGAGCAGTGAACTGGAGTTTAGAGGACAGACTTTAAATTCTGGATTCACCCGTAAATGTGGCAATCTCTCAAATCTTGCTCCTCTACAGGCAGAAGCCCCACCCCTGCTGACAGAGTAGGACAGAGAAGCCTGTGCACGCGGCCTGCTCTGGTTTGTCTGTTGTGAGATCTGTGTCATGTGATGGCTGAGCTGTTACTCTACCTAGGGGCCTATTCGGACCGGGCACACTTGTCAATGACATGGCTTTGGACAGCCTTCAGGGGACCAGCTTCACCTCAGGTCAGCCTGATTACTCCAGCTGCTGACAGGCAGGCAGCTGGGATGGCTGTTGGTATACTTTGGTATGCAAGGCACCCCGATGAAAGTTAATGGAGCAAAGGTTTAATTAAGGACAGTGCTTTTTGGGCTTGGGGAACCATAAAGGAGGACGTGGGCCCAGGAGGTCACATACAGTTAAGAGCTTGCCCCTGTCCCTACTGGCTCAGAAGGTCCAAGTGTGACCTCTGTGGCCTGTTCCCCAGTCGGTCCCCCATGCCTGATTATTATCTCTGCCACGGTGAATGCAGGGGCTGGGCACACAGAGGGGGCAGTCCCTTCGTGTGTGAATGCCATCAAGGGTGTCCCCAGGAGTCCATCTCTGCTCTGGCTTAGAATGTGAGGCTGGTAAAGACAGCCACGACTCAGAGAGTCAAGGTGTAGTGCCTACTGCCCAGCCAAGAGCCAGGCCTGGGTCATATCAGGGAAAAAGGTAAACACATCACTGTGAACTGTCAGAACAGCAGGCCCTTTACCTAGGACAGGCGAAACGATGACAATCATCCTACTAACAGTGTTGAATGCTTAATATGTGTTGAGTACTAAATATATGATGTGTGCACCACTCCACTCTTCCCTGCAACCGTCTGTTACCCTGGTATGACAGAAGTGAGGCACAGAGAGGCTGTCACTGCTTCAGGTCACAGAGGCACAAACCAGGACTTGTGCTTTGGTGGCCTGAATCTAGAGCTCAGGCTCGCCAGTGCTACGTGGGGGCCTTGGCTGCCCTGTATTTCTAGGTCTCAGGCAGGTGGCAGGAGGTGTGATCTAGGCCAACGTGAGGCACTCAGCCCTGAAGGGGAGCGCTTGGGCAACCTGCACTCACTCAGCCTTACTCAGGAAATTTGCCACCACCCCACCTGAAGTCAAGAAGGCACCCCTAGAAAATGTCCACTTCCTGAAATCAGGCAGCTCCTCTGGGCTCCTCCTTTGAGCAAAACAAACACACCCTTTCACCCAAGCATCCACAAAGATGAACCCTAAAGGAGAAGTTCATCTGGCAAAAATCTCAGCAATAACAGAGACTCTGGCTTTTTCCCAGAAACATGATTTTCTCTTAGGTAAATGGTTATGACAAGTCATGGCATCAATACTCACTTAAAAAAAAAATACTGCCTTTTTCTTGGTTTAGGGAAGAAAACAAACAAAAAGAACCAGGAAAAGGTACATCGAGTAAGTACTAGTTCCCAGTTCTACGGTGCAGGTGCCACGAATCCAGTTTCACACCAGGACACCTGAGCAGGACAGCTGGCAGTCTGCAGAGAGATGTGACTTAGAGAGTCTACTCTACACTTCCCAACAGTTCGGGGGAGGGCACGCAGGGGTGCAGCAGGGCTCAGTGACACAGAGGTCCCCGGGTACCCTGCCATCTCAGGAGACGAGCCTCACCTCCTCTGGAGGGTGAATGCCACTGAACCCAATGAGAAATTCTGTACCTCAGTCTCTGCCCTGAGCTGACTACTTACAAGACTCCTGTTCTCTGTTCTGTTATCTTCTACCCTCTGTACAGCCCCCAGACTCTCAAAGTCACTGCCAAGTTGCTGGGCTGAGTCCTGTGCAGGTACAATCCACTTTTAACGTCCAAAACACTTCCATGAGGTTGCCTCCGTCAAAGTGAAGGCTTCAGTACACTGTCCTCTCTTGACAATGCCTCCGCAAGTCCTGCCGCTTCTTGCGTATTTTGGGAAGAGACCCCAGGGAGCGTGCGCGCGCGCACACACAAACACACACACACCCTTCTTTTCAGTCTTACCCATTCAATGAGACTGTCATTTTTTTTTTAGGTAGGAACTTTGAAAACTGCAGTTATTTATTAGCTTCCCCCCTCCCCCCGCCACCGCCCAGATCTGTGCCAAGGGATGAGAAACTCACCATTGTCGAAGACTGTGCCTGCTGTGAACGAGAGTTCTGAGTCATGTTCAGCTTTGCAGGCATATAAGGCTTTTGCCTTCCGGAACGGTGTGCTGTGTGAAAACAGAAGTTTATTTAGCAGTATTTTTAAACCATCTGAAAGCCCCAGATATTTAATCTCTCTTCTTCCCCTTCCCTGCAAGCCACCTAGTTATCTCTTGTGGCAACAGCCTGACAAGACAGCCAGATGGCAAAACATGAGGCGGAAGAGTTGCAAAGGTCACGAGAGAAAAATGAGAATTATTCAGAGAAAAGCTGTAAGCCCCGAGAAACCACACGCCTTGTGGGGTCACCTCTGTGCCACGTTAAAACTCTGCCTAGGTGTCTGGACACCTGAATGGTGGGAATGCAGGCTGGGACCCACTTTTGGAGCAGGAGTACTTTGGGAAAAGGGTGGTGGGGAAAAGGCTTCCTACTTGCTCTGGAGAACACTCCCAAAAGACCTTGTTGAAAATTGGCAATGCTCAGTGAGTCAAAAAGCAGAAATTCTAACTAAGCCATTTTTCGGCTCTAGGCTATGGGCTGACATTCGCTCTCCCAGATGTTACTTATTTCTCTCATTGGGCTGGTGGAGCAGGATTCCAGAGGTGGAACTCCCCGACCCCCGGGTAGGGCAGGGAACAGACAAGGTGTGTGTGTGAGCAGTTACGTGAACATGTGTGGGGAGCGTGGAGAGGAAGAAGGGGGAGGGAACATGACATATATACGTGCATCAAAGTCACCGGGAAGCTCTTAACAAATGCAGATATCTGGATTCTATACCAACCTGCAGATATAAATATAGTCATCAGTATTTTTGAAAAGCTCTTCAAGTGACTCTAGTGTGCAAGAGAGCTGAGAACCACGGTTCCAGAACAGGGGTTGGCAAACTCTTGCTGTAAATGGCCTAGCAGTAAATATTCCGGTCTTTGTGAGCTGTATGGTCCCTGTTGCAATTACTCAGCTTTGCCTTGTATCATAAAAACAGCCATGGACATTGTGTAAATGAATTCGTATGGCTGCGTTCCCTCAAAATTTTACTTAGAAAAAACAGGTGGTAGGTTGGATTTGACTGAAGGGCCACGGATTCCTAATTCGTGTTCTGAAGAGTAAATTTTAAGAAGTGATAAATCCTATTACCACCTACCAATCTTTGCTTTGATATCCAGTAGTTCCAAATGATCAATGGACTTTTCAAGGGTCATAATAGAAATGCCACTTAACAGTCAAAGTTAGCTCTTTATTTGCTAAAAGTAATCTCTTCCATCTCTAAGACCTCTGAAGAAGCACATTTAGGGGCTCCGGGGCAGAATAACAAAAGAACAAGTAGGTCCTCTGGGTTAAGCAACTATTCCAGGGATATAGTATTTACTTTAGCTACATTTGACTAACAGAAAGCCTCCAGGAGTCAGTGGAGCCAAACATCCTGGGGCACACTGATTTCTAGTGGCCAAATGAGGTTTAGCTGAGGAAGGGCTGGTCTCAGGTAAGCCCAGACAACATCAGAAGAGGCAGAGGTCTTGGGTCATCACGGAATTGGTACTTCTGAGTCACCAAATCCATCCTCCCTTTGGAAAAGAGGAGCCATGGATGGATGGACACCTACACTAGGACCAGGCATCTAGAACTTCTAGTCTTGGCTCCATGAAAACTGAAGGAGATAGCTTAAAAGGTCTGCTGTGCACAAGGATCAGAATAAATGAGTATCCAGAATTTGTTGCTAGGCACAGTTTACTGTTCTTCTTCCTGGCCTTCTAGTAGCCCAGAGATGGCAGCCAGGTGGGAGAAAATTGGGAAATGGGGAGAAAATGAAGTGGGTCTATGTGGAATGAAGGAAAGAAGAGCCATCATAATTCATTAGTTTCAACTGGAAAACAGCTCTTCTGGGATAATTGTCATTAAAGTCAGAATGGAGTCTGGGACAAGGGGCATATTCTGTGATCTAAGTGAACCAAGTATGCATATTGTCAGCAAGGGCCAAACATCCATTGTGCAACTTTCCATGGAGGGGAAAAATGTTTGTTTTGGTCTTTGATTTTGAGGCAGTGGGAGCTGAGAGGAGGAGTTGCCTGGTTGTAGAAAGTGATAAAACAGCCCAAACCCCATATTGGCAGGCAACGAGAGCCAGGGAAGTGGAAGGAGAATCTGGTTGACATTAGCCAGAGTCACTATCCCTTAAGGACAGGGCAACAGGAGGTGGGTGAAGAACAGAGACTGGGGGCAAGAAAATCAAAGGCGAGGGAAAGATCATCTGAGGCAAGGCTCTTCCAGGGGATTCTCATAGAGGTTACTTATTAACTTCATTAAATAAAGGGAATGGGACAAAATGGGCAAACCAGGGAAGCCAACTGGGGTAATCTGGCAGAAGAGAGCAGAGGGAATGGTCTCAGGTGCTGAAGATTATTATTCAAAAGGAATAAATTTTCCACTAATGTTAAGCTTTGGGAACTGAATAAAGTGACAATGCAATAACCCATTAAAAATAAAAACAAAGATCAAGAAAGGGCCTTGCTTTTTTCTGAGATTAACAGTTGACTGACCATTTAGGAGAGGGTCTTTTCTCCTGAGATGTCCTCCCACTGCTGTCCCTGGGACTAGGGCCACCAAATAAAGGATAAGACACCCAGTTAAAAAACAACTTCAGATCAGTGGGAAATGCTCTTTTTAGTCTAAGTATGTCCCAAATAGTACATGGGACATACTTATCATAAAAAACAGCATTTGCTGTTTACCTATAATTCAAACATAATTGGATATTCTGTATTTTCATTTTATTTGCAAAACATTTGCCAAATCTGGCATCTCTATCAGGGGGCAACTCTTATCTTTTTAAAAGCTGGTCAGCCCAACCAGTCCAGTGTCCTATGCCATATTCACTGTCAAAAGCCCCAGCAGTTTGCTTTAGGTAGAGTTCCTACCAAAACAGATCCAGTTGGCAGGAGGTTGTGTTTGTAGGCTTTGGCTCTAACTAAAAAAATAAAAACTCCCCACCAAGTACCTTTGGCTCTTGAGCTCCCCGTTCCCTGCGGTGCATCTCAACACTGGACACAGAGAGCCTGAGGTGTGTTCAGCTGCTCCTGTAACAGCGCCCTTCAGACCTCAGCTGGCCTTCAAGGGCATGAACAAGTTTGGAACCTTCTGCTAGTTCATTTTTAATTTTCGCCTCTGAGCATGGCACAAGGCCAGGAAAGCACTCAGAGGAGCTTCCCTCAAATGCCCTTGCAAACCTTGCAAAATGACAAGCCACTCTCCATCAGATGACACTACAGGGAGGTGGGACCAGCTAGACTGGCAGGATGCAATAGCTTGATCATTTAGGCACAACTGCCAGAGGCTACTGTGTAAGTGGAAGTTATGGTTTAGGCACTAGAGATTTTGTAGGGGTGACAGGAAAGGGAAGTGGGAAGGGAATATGCCTCCAGTACCCTTCCTCTGCTGTGCTGTCAAAGGCCTTTTCCTTCCTGAGCTTCAAATTATATGCCTGGTGGAGAGGAGAGGGAGCCACTTCCAGAGGAGACATTAAAGAGAAGTTCATGGGACCACTTATTTCATCTAATTAAGTAGTTATTTACTAAGGGAAGGAAATCTGAAGCTTCACACTATGGAGGTGGGTGTGGGGGAAAGGCCCCAATGGACCTGAATGATAGGTGTACACCCCCATTTCTTGGCTGCATACCGCAATGGCAACTAGGGGATTTCAACCCTCTTGGCTAGTTCTGATGGGCTAGCTCCCAGTAGGGTCTCTATCAGTGCTCACCTCGGCACACATACTTAGCTCAGTGCCAGTCAATTCCAAGCCCTAGTCGGCCTTTCCTCTTTCAAAATGGCAGCTTCCTCAAGTGTTGTGGATTAAGATTGTCCAGATGGTGCTACTTTAATGGTGGCCAGAGTGGGCAGTGCTGAATAACCATGACCCCAAACACATCACGGTAGCAGATCCTATTGCCAATCTTGAAATACTTTGGGAGATGGAGAGGAGTAGCTAAAGAAAAATACCTGGAAAATATGTTGGGTGATGGCAAGGAGTACAGAGGAACAGATATTGGACAGGCAATAGGCTGTTTCCCGAAACTCAGAGACACAAAAAGTGGACACTCCTAAAGCAGAGAATATGCCCACATTTTTAGCCAAATGATTCTATCATCCTGAGTCCCCCAGCCCATTCTGTTTAAAGGACCAATGTTTTCAAGGTTTTACTCCCCTTTGATCAAAATGAAGGAAGCATATTCTCCTAGTGACTGGGCCTATCCTATAAGTAGGGAGGCATATTGGAAGGTGACTGCCCCAGGTCTCTGTAGTTTGCTCTGGTTCAGGTCTTCATGGAGCAATCAAGCATCTAACCAGAAAGGTTAGATCCATGCCATATCTCGTGTCCTAGAAAGTTAATGTCTCCCCAAGTGCCCAGAATATGTCTAAGAAATAATGAGGAAAGAACTTAAGTTTCAGGAAAATATAATCTGAATTTTAACCTTATTCCCAGGGTGAGGGTAAAAGAGCATATGGAAAAGCTATCCTTCCCACCTTCCAGTGCAAAGCTAGATAGAAAACCAAGAACAGCAGGCCAGGCTCCGGGGCTGGGAGTCGCATGGAACCTTAGGTTTGGGGGCACCCGTATGTTTGGAGGAAAGAGTGCTGGGTTGAGGACAAGAAGTCCTCTGGATGGGTGCTCATCCAGTCATGTGACTACGTAGTCACCTCCCTGTGCCTTAGTTTTCTTTCTCTGTAAGAGGTTTCAGGCCATTTCTCCTCCCATCCTCAGATGGGGATAGCATGAAATAATAGATTGGCAAGTACATGGAGGAAAATAAATATATACATCTGTATATATAAATAGCATGGGTTTTCTTTTTTTTTTTAAAGTGAGGCTAAGTGTTGTCAATTGTTTAAGCCTCTCTGCTGGACCCACCCCTCCAGGAAAAAAAACAGATATGAGAAAAAAGATGGACAAGAAAATACTGCCAAGGCTCCAAATGCTTATGACGCCATGTAAGTAGGCTCTATATTTTGGTTGTCTGCAACCAGAGACTAAGTTTGAGAGAGATATAGGCTTAGGATCTACATATCAGAGAGATCCTACAGGATCTTTATTCACTGATTCTTTTCCTGGATTTAAATAGCTTCTTTTCTCTAGAGAAGTATAAAGAATGAAGTCTGGATATTCTCAAACCAGGGAAGAGGAACTAGATCAACCCTCAGAAAGAGGTATTGCCTCTTCCCATGAACACTAAGGGTCCATGAGGCATGGAGATCCGAGCAGGCTGGGAGCATGCAGAGGGCAAGAGGCAGCCCTCGACGATTTAAAGAGCAATCACTTCCCATCTCCATCCTTTACTCTGTGTTACCTGCGTCTCTCTCCCACTTCTCTGGTCTCAGCAGCTAGGTGTCACTGCTCATGGCCAATGGTCCAACCCCACAAATAAAAGTTGCCTTATGCTACCCGATAAACATAAGGGAAGAAAAGGCCAGTAAGTGTCTCAGCACTGTTCCCTCTGATACTATCTTATACCAAAGCACAGAGAGCCCATGATTCTGAGAACCATCCAAACAGGAGGCCGTTGAGGAGGCACTCTTTCCCCAAACTCCAGGCATCACGGATTAATTCAGAAACTGGAGGAAGGGTTCAGAAAGGCGTGGAAAATGCCATGCTGGTTCATGCACATGGTCCCTCCCAGCTTCAGTCTCTTAGGCTGGAATCAGAGGAGGGTAGAGGCTAGTCCCCCCCACCACTGTCCCTGACCGGCTTTGGATAAACAGGAATGGATTGGTCATCATCCGTGATTTTACCTGGAGTCTTCACGAACCGCTTCTTCTGGCCTGTCAAAAAGCAAGTGCAGGTTTGGATGGCGGGGAACAAAGTTGACGAGGAGGCTGAACACTGCATGAAGAGAGGACCAAGCCAATGAGAGAACAACGGCAGCAACAGAAAACCAAACAAACCCTGCAACAGACCTGATGGGGGATGAGTCGCTGGACGTGGATGAGGTGGGCATAGGGCTGGATGGCGCCGAGAACATGGGCCAAGATGGCGAGAGGGGTGAAGTTGGGCTTGGATTCGGGGGGCTGCAAGACAGAACAACCAGAAAACTTGTCAGCACACAGGGAAACCACAATGGGAGCACGAGGTTCATGGGAGGCCAAATGATGGGAAGCTGGAGCAGAAGAGGGGCACCGAAGCCCAGGCTGTGTCATCAGCACCAAGTCACAGGTCTCCAGACCTCTGCATCTTCCAAGCAGCGGCTCTTCTGCCGTTCCTTGGAGCATTACTGTGTCTCTCTGACCTGCAGAAATTCTTTCTAGGTCACAGGAGCATCTTCAGTGGTGTCCATTGTGCCCTTGCCCCCTGGTGGAAGATGCCCTGGGCCCACGTACATGAGCTCCCACTCAGACCCTAGCACCAGCCTGTCTGGGGCGGGGCAAGCTTCTCAGAGGCCTTCAGCCTCCACTGCTATGTGAGTGGTTTTAAAGTTGTGTGTGTCTCAGCAAAAATGACCATTTTTCTGGGCCACACGGGCCATTCAGCCAGGAAACAATTTCCTGTTTACATTTTTTAACTAAATGGGCTGTGTGCCACCGGAGACTTGGAAATCCACTGCATCAGAAAAACGATAGCACATGGAAGACGGGTCTGGACACACACCTCTCAGGAGAGGACATGTGATTTTAGGCGGCTCTGCAGTCCCCCTGGGGTTTGCTTTCCAGGCGTGCTCTCTCTTTTCATGGATTTTGGGAATTTTGATGCTCTAAGAAAAAGCCCCAGAAGGAAGGCAATGAAAACCTAACGAACTGAAACCTTCAATCTGTCATTTTGTTCTTTGATGGGCAGCTGATCAAAAGCTTGGAGAGGAAATATTGAAATTACTAAAATACAGCTTGTGGATTTTAACTGGTCATGCTAGCTAGCCCTTTGACTTATTTCCACAAATTACACAAACAAACAAACAAACACACAGCTTTAGCAACTCTGTAAAATCGCATTAAGTCACAGAGAGCGCAAAGACCAATGACTGAGAAAACAATGTGGAGATCACCCAGCCACAACACCACCTGCAGTAATGAGCCTCAGCCAACTGCTGGAATGTTCAGTCCAAGCACTTCAGAGAGGTGAAAATGACAGCAATCCAATTCCACTGGAACAGACTTTCTAAACATAGTGGGATTTAGCAAGAATGCATAAATGTCCTACTTAATGGGCCATTCTCAATTTAGGCATGTGGCCCAATAATGGTCCTAAGTGCCTAGGGTTGCAACATACATTCTCATAGAAATACACAGTAAAAATTCATCACATGAGCTCACCAGAAATCCACAGACTCCTTGAATGAAACATTTATTTGATGCCATGATATGCATTATATTTCTAGAATATAAATTCCCCAAGGGCAGGGATTTTTGTCCGTTTTATTTACTGTTCTACCTCCAATGCCTAAAATAGTGCCTGTGAGTATTCAAGAAATAATTACTGAGTACATTAATAAATCTCATTTAGCTTACTCAACAAGCCAAGAGGCACAATACAATTCCTATTTTACAGATGTGGAAACTTGGGCCAATTTGAGGCTTGCCTGTAAGTGACAGGGCTGAGGTTCAGACCCCAATCCCCTGGCTTTAAGCCCTGGGTTCTGGCCACCACAGTGTACAGCCTCTGGGGTAGCAGGACTTACTATGTTCCTTTATGCTATGCCAAGCTTCTTTATAGACCCAGCCATAGCACTAGAAGCCTTCTTAACCACTGATTTATGAGTTTCCTTTAGAGGCCTGCCACATTTGCAAAGGAAAATGGAAATGGAGCAACAGATTCAATACGACTCAATACATTGTAAATTCCCCAATTCTGCCTCCAGTCTTCTCTTTGGTAGATTCACATAGCAGATGGAATTCATATAATGCAAGAGATTAAATTTGAAGAGTATGGCTTGTTTCTCTTTTTCTCAATTAACCCGGCAAAAACAAGTTACTGAGCACACAGCACAATCAAATACAACAAATGGAATACAACTTAGCACCTGCCAAGGTCCTTAACTTCAAGAGTTCACGATGTATTTGACAAGATGGGATAGGCTTAAAAACAACTCTACTATAACACAGTAAGATTTGTCAGCTGAGGGGTAAGTTACTATCTTGTCAGTTTAATACCTGTTCCCACTTCACTCTGTCTTGAGTCCTGGGAAAAAGTGTGGCCTCCTTTTGACTGTCTAGTCCTCACTTTCTTCTATAATTACAGCTGGTAAGTAAGCAAGGCCTTGCCTTCTCAGGCCTCTCCCCACAACACTCCTCCCTCAGTAATGACCTAGTAGGCAAGGCCTGGCCATGACTTCTAAACTGCAACCAAACCCAGGAACCCGAGCTCTGACCAGGAACAATTTCCAGGTTCAAGAGAGCAAGCAGCCCAGGCCCAGAGGCCTGCACTCATCTGTTCTCTGGTTAGTGGTCAGCACAGGACAATTAAAAAGTTCTTAAGACTTTTTTGTTTGTTTTCGTTTTTTGTTTTCAGTGGCTTTTATATGGAGGAAACACCTCCAGCTTCCTATCTCATTTGTACAAGAATTATGCCTTTGGCTAAAGGCATCGTTAGGGACATACTCTATGAACACAATGTGGGTTCTGAATGTTTTTTCACATCCTTGCATATCCAAGTGGTTCTTGGCCAGTAGCACATGGCTGAAATTATCTGGGGGTGTGGCTGGAATGCAGGGTGTTTGAAACCATTACAAGAACTTACTCTTCAATCCCCCTGTCAATTACTATAGTACAGACTACCATTTTTACAGCTAACAGAATTTCATTTGTTTGCTTCTGTTTTACTCATAGCAACAACATTTATTTATTTGCTATAAAATGACCACAATTTAAAATTTATGACTACTGTATTTTAGCATAACAATAGAATGCACACTCCATAGTACTCTGATTTTTTAAACTACTGATGGAATTATGTTGTTTGCTTATTTGTGTTTCAGAATCATGTCAATAAAACTCATGATCTCAACAATGCTATAGAACATTTATTTATGTATATATATAGAATGATGGATGCCAGGGCGCCTGAGTGGCTCAGTCAGCTAAGCATCCAACTTTGACTCAGGTCATGATCTTGCGGTTTGTGAGTTCGAGCCCCGCATCAGTCTCTGGGCTGACCCCTCAGAGCCTGGAACCTGTTTCGGATTCTGTGTCTCCCTCTCTCTCCGTCCCTCCCCCACTCACTCTGTCTCTCTCTCTCTCTCTCTCTCTCTCTCAAAAATAAACATTAAAAAAATTTATATAATGATGGATGCCTATAGTAAAAGAATATCAATAATATATAAGTATTCCTCCAAGAAGCAGACAGCACATGGTATTTTAGTTGTGAGACATCTCAGAGAACATATACATGGGAAATACGATGCCCAGAGATAATGATAATGGCCAAGATTTTCTGCATAATCGTACATACCCCTTTCACTGCACAAGTGTCTGGCTACATTTACTGAAAAATGACAACAGCAGGCAAAAAATCTCACCCCTAAAAAACCTAAACAAAACACACAAACAACAAATGGTCAGTTTTGCTATTGCCTCTGAAACTTCTATCAAATTCTCACTTTTCCCACTGAGGCCAAAAATAACAAATTACTGACATTAGGATAGGAGAAAATAATTTTACAACTACAATCTTAGCAGGTGAGTCCCTAAGTCCTCTCTATTACCCTCACAGTCAAGCCGGGAGTATCTGCACATTTTTCACTCCTGGGGTTCCCTCCATTAAGGCCCAACTGTAGCAATGACAAGAGCTGAAACTTTAGCTTGGAAGGAACATTTGCTGGTCTAGTTTGGATTCAACTGGAAGGCTTGCATCGGCTTTAGTTAGCTGGTCCACGGTGTCCTCAAAAGGAGTGACAGAGTCCCAGTAAGTCCTGTTGATACTCACTGGACAGTGAAGAAAGAACAGATTAGGAAGATAAGGCTCAAAGGCCTGGCAGCATGTTGGGTTGTGGCAGGTAGTTCAAGTCCACTGTGTGGCATTATCATCAGCTTGACACCCTCCAGTGGTGACTCACTTGAATGATGGAACGTCTGGTGTACCAGCCAGGGCATGCTTGCCTAGTGACTATGGACAGGGCTGCTCCCAATGTCATTATGGATGTGGCAGACCCAGTCGGGTCTCTACTCTATGGCTATTAAAACCCGAACCAGTACAAGAAGAGCAGTAAGCTGACCGTTCAGAAGAAAATGATCTTTTTAAAATTCTGATACTCAAAAATCACAGATGGCCTTGTAGAAAATTGGCCAACACCAAAGAGCAAGAAAAAGCAATAAAATCGTAATCTGTACCACTAACAGTCACTGTTACTATCTTGGCATATCTCCTTATTTTGGCGGGGGTGGGGTGGGGGAATACTACTACACACATAGTAGCCTGTTGTTGTTTTTTCACTTAATAAAACATTTTCGAATGTCATTAAATAGCCTTTGCTATCATATTCTTAAAATGGCTACAGACTATTCTCTTGTATGGTATACGCTGATTTATGCAACCTTTCCTTATTGTGTATATTCAGATCATTATCCCCCTGTAGCTATTATAAATAGTAGTTCAACTTACATCCTTGTTGAGGATCACTGACTGTATTTGTTTCCTTAGCATAAATTCTTGGAAGTTAAATTAGTGGGTCAAAGGCTAGAAGTCTTTTTTTTAAGGGTCCTGATACAAACTAGCAAATAGCTTTGGAGAAGAGTTCTGCTGAATTGCATTCCCACCAATAGTGCATGGGGGGGATGCCCCTTCCCTCTCACCATTGCCCCACCAAAATGGAGCATCATCATTAAAAAAAATTAGATAGCCTTCCCCCCCCCCCCCCCATTTGGAAAAGGTTACCTTGGGCTCTCTTCTTTCCTAGTATTTCCAGGGACCTTAAAAATGAATACAATTCCCTCCTCTTGTTCCATCTCGAAGCAATGTTTAACTTTCCAAAGGGCATTCTGCCAAGAAGGCAGTATAGTGAAGGACACAGGCAGATAGAGAAGTGAAACCTGAGGAGTTAGAGCCCTGGTCACATGGTGTGGCTCATCGTAGAAACACTGGG